GCAGGCTGTAGGCAGTGTTAGTGGGACACAGCACCTTCTGTCTAGGGCACCCAAATCCAGAATTACTCACTCGTACTGAGAGGTACAACTACCTGCTAACTGACTTACATATTAAAAATACTGAGGCAGAGCTGATCAAACAGCACCACTGTAAAGTGAAACTATCCAGACCTGTTGTCACTAAATAGGAGGGGAAAAAAAAAAAAAAAAAAAGCCAGGAAAAGTATTCCTTAAAGGTTATGGACAGGCACCATTCAGAGTTACTGATGTAACTCAGAAAACATTTAAAGCTTACAAAGTACCAGCAGCAGTTACTGGAATTACAAAAAAAAGTTTGCTTTGTTTTACAAAATTCCTTAAATTACAAAGTGTTTTGTTCCTTGTCATTGAAAGTTATTCTTTACCTCATTACATTGGGCATATTTCAGCATTTAACATCATTAGAATAACAAATGCTGATTTTAAGGAGTTAGATTAAAAAGACGATACTTAAAACATAATTCAAAATATTACATTACACATGCCACCATGAATCTGCAAACATGCTCAGTTTCATTAAGAAAAAAACTCTTTTATACAGCATGCTTCCTTCGTACTGTCAAATTATTTATTCCTCATGCAAATAAATGACAAAAATAGCATGAAATATCTTAGAAGTAAATTCTGGGCCCTACAAAACCAGTAATAGCCATTTATTTTAGAGGCTTAATGTTTGACCAACAAGTCAGTCTAATGATTTGCCTTCAGTCTTTCAACTAAGTGACACAGTCAAGAATACCAAGATCTCCAGAAGACGTGCTCTCACATTTTCTATCGAAGCACAAAAAAATTTGTTTTCTCAATTAAAAAAAAAAGTTACAGAAGTCCCATAGAAATTGCAGAGGTAATACAGAAAGATCTTTTTGCAAGATCTTTACTATTCAGAATTAATCAAAGCAAAACAACCACCCTAGTGATAATCCCCTTTAGTGCTTCACAGTTTATGCAATAGTCAATTACTAAAGAGGATGAAAGATGGAACAATCTTTGCAAATAGGTCACTGTCTATATTTATAATGATTAAAACCTGCCTGCAGCTACCAGTAACTTTTAATAAGCATAAAAAGTAACATTAAGACAGTGCATGTATTTTACTCTTAAATATATCCTATGTCTCCTATAACAGAAGAGGAGGTAACTCAAAGTTATTTCACATAGGTTATGCATTAGCGTTGCTGAAAGTAGATTTTATTTCCTGTCTGTAACAATTTTATCCAAAAGTATCATCTTCATAGGCATAACACCCAACCATTCTTGACATAATCTCCGAATTTACCCAACTCTTTCCCCACCTGCATACCTTCTCTTTCAAAACTTGTTAGTAGATTTTACCTGCAGACACTGCCCAAAGCTCCTTTTTCAAGACCACTTTTAACATCTTCCACTTCGGCTTCAACTTTTCTTTCCTGTTTAGTCATGCTTAAACACGCAGGGGGTGTTTTTGTTCAAAACAATTACTCAGGATTCTACTGCATACTGCTGGGACCTCCCTTCTTCTTTCAAGTATTGTCTGTCTTCTGCTACAGAATTCTCCTCTTTCAAAATTTTTCTTTCCCCCCCATCCCTGGCCTCTCTAAGGAGTATCTTCTGCCCTTCCTGTGGGATCAGGACATCACACCTGACAATTTTCCTAAAATTTTATTGAATTTCATTGATTCTCATTGCTTCAAGCACCACCACCATATCAGTGATTCTTACGCCCAGCTGTGCACTCCTGCACCATTTCATTTCATTCCAATTCTACCTGCAGTTACAGTCTCCACCAGAGATTTATATGTGGTTAAATTGTAGCTTGTTTCCTCTCAAGCCCTACTTCATCAAAGTACCTCCAGCCTTCCTACAGTTCAAGTCCATAAACTCACATCTGATTCTTACAATGCTTTATGCAGTTGTACTCAATAGTTCAAAATTCTCTGTACAAAACATCAAGAATATTCACTACCCAGTCCTGATCTTTCTCGTGACCAGATCATTTGCTTCAATTTTCATCAGCAAGTTCTGCTCACACTGTTACCTCCATCCTTCATTTCATATATTTCAGCTGTTACAAAATTCTTCCTTTATGCTGTACTTTGGAGACTCTGGATCTTCAAGTATTTCCACAGCCAGCAAGCCTGTGAGCTCAAGACTATGAAGCTGCAGAACCTGCAGCTCATTACTGGAAAGGAGAAGGAGGATAATCTTCAGAAAATAATGTAACCACCTCTTAGAAGAATCTCATAACAGAAGCATTCCTCTGCATCTCATACATACATTTGTACTCAGGATACTGAAAACACACTGAAGGTTGGGCTAGGGCTGAATATTATCACCTCAATCCCCCCAAAAAAATCACCTACACAAATTATTATTAAGGTCATTCTAGTTTCTAATCTTACAAATTTAAGAGAAAACACCTGTAGTTTAGAGTTTATTATAATGCAGACTGTACAAAACTGAACTCCCCAGCAGGCAGAGTAGAGAACACCACAGCCAGCTTTGTGAAGTGAAATCGCTTTTGTGTGTAAAAGCCGGGAACTTGATGTTCTCACTACAGACTAAGAGCAATAAAAACAGCTTTCTGAGACATTAATTTCTGCACAGCTGATTTCTATTTAACAATGCTCATTATTGAAAGATTTCTAAAATAACGCGAGGCTGTTCCAGTGAGAAGGCTGGCACTCTGAATATCTAGACTGAGCTAACAGTGACATCAGTGCTACTATTGCTTTAATCCCTGTGGCTATCAAATGTCAAACATTCTCATTGTATTTAAAGAGCTTGTGATTGTGCACCGTGGGATTAAGTTACTTCACATTTTTAAAATAAGACAACTGCAAGGCACAGTGAGCATCTGCATTCTTGTCACCCAAGACTGCAATAATGGCAAGTTCTTCAGTAACATCAGTTAGAAACTGCCATGCTTTTTTTCACAGCTAAAATGTAGCTTTTTTAGGATTTTTAGTTTTTAAGCACTGAGAACTCCCATCTCCAGTCCTTCCATAACCCAGTGAAGTCTACAAATCTGTGCATAGCTGTCCCACTCAAGTCCAACCTTAAATACGTTGTAGCATTAAGTATATTTGGGGGGCAGGGAGGGGAAGAAAGGTGAAAAGGCTAAATATCACTACATCAGTCACAAAGCTTATTGGAAACCAAGCAGCAGGCCATATACTACTTATTGTTTGACAAGACACCCATGTAACATGAATTTCATCTACTTTAGAGAAGGAAATGCATCAAACTATAGTCAACACAGTCGAAGGAACTGTCTTAATATACAATATGAACTTTAGTGTGGTAAACTATTTAAAGTAGGATATAGTTTCTAAACATTTCCAAACAAATTATGAAAATACTAAGGAATCAATTACTATGGCAGTAGATGGGCTACCACATACATTTCTAAAATAAATACCTAATAATTATTTTATCCTTCCAAGTTCTAAGTGGTTCATATAAACTACAGTGAGCTAGGACACTGCTGTAAAGAAAGTGCAAGAAAAACTTATCGATCTTCACATTGCATAAGTGAGAAATTACTTAAAAAAAAAGAAATTAAATTCATTAATCATATTTATTCCTTATTTGCTGGGGGGAAGTTAAAATAAAATTGTCATAAAGGATACTAATATTAAACACATGAAGTCACATAGCTAGAGAAATTCTGAACTTCAAGAATGAAGCCAAGAACAGAGTAGGATGTTGAAAAACTACTGAGTATTTCAATACAGTTCAAGACTAAATCACCCAAACAATCTTGTATCTTTAAGATCTTCCCACACTCACCAATTAACCAAGCAGCTTTGTCTTAATTGTGTCTTACTAGCAAAGTGCAAATTCACTGCACTCCACGGTAAGATATTTATTTCTAAAGTCAGCATCAACTTTTATTTGAATACCACACTTGAGTGAGCTCCTGTGGTGCTCTGAATGCTGGTAAATGGGATTAACTATAACTATCAGTTTGTACCCAAGCAACAACAGTTTACAGAGTAAGAACGTTCATGACTAGAGAGCTTTTAACCTTAGAATTTTAAAATAATTTAACATCTCCGTACAGAAGGATGGGGGGGACAGACAGGAGTGGGAATTATATATATATATACACACACATACATAATTATGTGTATGTACACATACATCACTGGTTCAAGAAAAAACCTGGATTACAATAGACTAATAAACTTGTTTACCAGTACCAAAAGTGACCTGATTATCTAAATCAGAGTGCTAATCTTTTGTTGGGGGTGGGGGAGGCCTGTTAAAAAGAAATAAAAAGTGAGAGAAACCACTTTACTAAGGAAAAAGGCCATCAATGCTTAGTTTTAGCCTGAAGTGGGAGTACATCATTCCTGAGATTCTTCCATACTAATTAACAAACTCACATGTTTTGAGTTTTAATCCAGAGTAAAGTTGCAAGAAGCAGAATTGGCAAGGCTGACTCATTACAAGAGTTCACAAATAAAATAATCAAGCAATAAATTAAACCCCATATAAATCTTAAGTGTACCATTTTAAAACTATTAAACCCACTAATACATCAACTTACAGCTCTTATGCTATCTATACACATACTCTGGAAAAGCTGACAGTAATTAGCACTATTATTTCAACAAGACAAGAAGTGAGGAGTTACTGCAGTAGGCTCCCTTCCTCAGGAAGAAAGTATAACCCAAATTCAGTGTCATCTCAAAACAATCTTAATAAAGAAAGAACAAAAGCATCTCTAACATTCAATCACAGGATAATGTCAATGGAATTAATCCCCAAAGCAAAGTATTTCTGCAAGGAATAATGCTATATACATCAACTGTTTAGACTTCAATAACCAGTTCATGCTGAGATAAGACATTTTTACTTAAGCAATGTGAAATTATTAGGAATAAATCTCAAAACAGTAGCAAGCAATTATGGCAATAAGTAAACAGAAGAAAAAAACATAACACAGACAAATATACAGGGATGATTTTTTAGCTTACCTGCACTTGTTCTGTGGAGCTACTACTGAGTTCATCTCCAGACTCCGAATCTTGGTGAATTTTTTCTGAGCCTTCTCCTGCTGAATCACAAGATTGTTCATGCAAAAAACTGGTCTTCTCTATTTCCAAGAACTCTGGACATGGGAAATGACCCATGGAGACAGTTCTATATTGATTGGAAACCTTGGGAGATTGCAACTCATTGTTGAGTTTTCCATTGTTTTGGGTAAGGTCCAGACTCAAACCAAGAGTTTGTCCGGGGCTATTGTTCACTCCTAGATTTTGATTGGCATCTCGAACTAAGCAAGACACTTGAACTGGAGAAGATTTTCCAAAACTAGAAAGCTCTGGTGACTTATTCACATTTTCTGTTGATCTCTGTAATCCATGTGTCAACTTCAAAGCATTATTTGGCAGCATGCTTGCCTGCTTAACAGGTGGCATCAGTGCTTTTCGTGGTATTTCCTTCACATACTGTGCTGGCACATAAAAGGGTTTGGAATTTTCATCTCTTTTGACTTGCCACCAATCATCATTAGTCTTTTTCACCAAGATGTATTTCTCCCCTTGCTTAATCACAATTTTTTTGTCCTTGGCTTCATACTCATAGTCATATTCCACTTCAATGTACAACTGTCCTGGAATGATCTTCCCACCTTTATCAGCCATTTCTACTTGAAAAGATTTCACCTTTTCAGGCAACAGATAAGCCACATTCTGTTTCAGAAGTCTTATTTTCCTGTTAATCAGAGCTGTAAGAAAAAAAACACACACACATATATATATGTAATAAAGTAATTGTTTAAGAGCACTTCAGAGGAAAATCACTTCAAAAGTAACTCTGCCTATTCAATTTGTCAACCTCAGACTGATGGAAAAATGCAAGGTGTTCAGATACCCTTCTCAGTGATACAACAGAAAGTCAGTAGAACAACTTAGTCACCAATTTCACTCTCCGATTCACACAAGCCTCCTGCTATCAAGTGGTTGATTAAGCCTTTTGTTTCTATTCCTAAATAATGTTGATTGATCATCAGGGGCTTGGTGGGGCAACAAGTCTGAGTCAGTCTCTTCCTTATACACAGTTAATTTGTTCATGGAACTGCATTACTGCACTGGTTTTAATAATCTTCTCTCTGAATAGTTTGATTATTTTCTTATTTTGAGTCCTCTTTCTATTCAGGAGTCCCTTCAGAGTGCTCAATATTCCTTACAAAATTCTTTAAATCTTCCTCCAGCACTACAACCCCAATCAGGCTGAGCACAGGTGGGCAATCCTTGACCAGTATGTGCTGCATGCCCTATAGAGCCTGCTAACCTTCACCAAACTAGAGGAGGGATAACCAGGGAGCTATGTGACCCACATTCTCTGAGGCTGCAAATCATGTTGCTTCTGCATCTACCTGTTGTCTATAGAACAGGTGGTATAATCACTTTTTTTTTATTTCTTTAAATTGCTAGTATAATTGCAACACAGAATTTCATCTATAACCATGGCAGTATTAAAGTATTCAAAGTCTCCAAGATAGTGGTTTCAGTGGTTTAAATTCTGAATATTTACTTTGCTCTTAAGAGAACTTTGTTGTATTTACCTTTGAGAAAACTTGATCTAACCAAAAGTTTAAGGGCTAAAATGGAAAACATAAACAAAAAACATCAATAATTAAATAGGACTATGAACCAAAACAAAAAAAAATGGATAAGAAATGAAAGGATAATACATGAAAATTTTAAAAAGGACTTTCAGCAACTTATAATCCGGACAACCACCACTGTATCCACACCCATGAACTACAAGTTATCTCTATTTAATCATGTAGCATCAATGTCATAATTCGTAAGTGGATAAGCATCAGTCTTGCCAACTGACACTGAGCACAACATAGTAAATTAACATAAGAGATATGACTTCTTCATCTTGAAAATCAAAGCATGTAAGTAAAGGGAAGGATCTCTAGCATTCAAACAGAATGTAGGAGAATTCAAGTAAAGTGCTGCCACATTTGATCTTAAAGATTAATAAATAAATCTTTTTTCAAAATACATGTTTCATGAATTAGAAAAATTATGTAGAAACTTGCAACTCTGCAAGTTAAGACTTCGCGATGGGATTTGTAGTGCTTACCCTCACAGAGTGGAACTAATGCAGCTCCATGCAGGCACAGAAACACAGAGTGAACTCTGATACCCTAAATGGGACTAAGGACAGAAACAACAACAAAAAAGGACTTCTGGGGAGAGCTGAAACAGAAACCTCTAACAGCTCTTTAAGTTCTCTTTCATCATTTCTGCTATTTGGTCTGAGCCTTGAAAAAAAATATGTATTTCCCACGTAACTCAGTAGAAAAAGAATCAGCTAAAAAGCTAAAGTATAATACCAAGACAGAAGTACTCATCTTTAAACTGTCTTTCTCTCTCCTACTTTCCATCTTTTACTTCCTGAAAGCATTTCCTATAGGTAGCTTGAAAGCTACTACTGTTTACAAGACTCCAAAAGGAATCATACAAGATCAGACTTACAATTTTATTGAGGACTTGGCATAAGGAATGATGGTACCACATTCAACAAAGCTGACAGCAGAAACACAAAGGAGGAGGAAAGAATGCTAGGATTCTGGTGTTTACTCTCTCTACCATAAAATGGTACACTGAAATTCACAGCATTATAATCTATTTACAGCCTCACAGAAAACAACCTGCTTACCTGCTGTTCTTCATAAATAGATATTTTTAAATGCAGCTCTGCAGTTATTTAGCAACTGTAGCAGAAGGTAAGCACAAACAAATTGCAACCATTCCCACTCTCTTCCTAGTTTTGGAAGCTCTGCCTTACAAATGTTATGTTTTCCTTGTTATTAAATCTGACTCCTTGCAACACTTCTTCAAAGTTGCTACCAACCGCTTTCACGGCTTCAAGGTCATATACCAGAAAAAATGCAAGTGCTTCCAAGTTACCTTGGAGGTTGAAATGTAGGACAAGGATCCATTCACACTGTTTTTCCTTCTCCACTAAGAAACCAAGAAGAGAACATAGGCCTATGGTTTCCCACAATGCTACCAAGTGTTTAAAAGCTTGGATTTTTCATTTCTCTTTTGCCAATTTCATATAACTATTTATTGAGAACGCTTAACATTTTTTTCAAGACAGATAGGTTCAATAAGCTGCATTTTATGCTTAAAAAAACACAGAATTTTAAGAAATAAAAGTTTAATAAAATACAGTAGCTACAAAAATAGCTCTATCCACTTTTGAAGTCAGTTTTACAGCCACATCCTTTTCCAAAATAAAAAATAAAAAACAAGCATCATAATTTTTTGTTCTTTCATCTAAGCTGCAAAATTATCAAGTCAATAGCAAACATTTGATAATGTTGAACATATGATCAAAAAGAGATGGGCTTTGTTCTGCATTTGGCCAGAACACTAAAACACTTTTATAAACAGATCACATAATCGGGATCAAGCAAGGCTCTAATTCTCCGTCTCAACAGAGAAAAGCAAGAGGTACTTGCTATGGTGTAGGCAGGAAATCTTTCTCAATAAGTTTAACAAATATCAACATTAACCCTGTAGGTCTGCAAACAACTACCATGACCTTGATTTCATAGATCCAAATGCATTAAAGTTTATTCTGTATTTTTTTTAATGCAGCTGTTGTGCCACAGAAGGTAGACTGCCTGTACCTATATGCACAGCCCAGGAGACAGCTAATTGTAATGACTTTTCAAGCGTCCATGTATCTGTCTTATAGATCTCACGTTAAAGAGCCATCAAAGGCTTGGCCAAACCTCCACTGTAAGGGGCTTAAAATAATTCAGATGTGAATGCACAATACTGACATCTGGAGTACTAATTTCATTGTACTACCAGTCAACAACTGAAGCGATACAGCAGATCAGACCTTGTAATCTCATTGTATTTTTTTTTCTTTACCATTACCTGTAATGCTGGATGGCACCCACTTTGGTAAAGAAGGTTGGAGAACCCTAATTAGAAGATATGTGTGAAAAATTACTTACTCCCACAGAGGGCAGCTGTAAACTTTAACACCTTAAAGTCACAATACCTGATTAAGAGAGTAGTAACAACAAATGGCCCCACTGACAACAAAGACCTAAAAAAACCCTTATTCAGGAATACCAAAAAACAGACTCAGGCCACAGTCGTCTTATGGTGAAGAAAATCCCGATTGCTAGGGGGTAACTAATTTAATGTGGTCCCCAGCCCACGGTTCCGCAGAGCAGGCACGTTGTCCTGAGAGAGAGGACACGCGTGATTACAGTCACGGCCGCCCAGCCCTCGGGAAGCAAGCGCCAAGAGGCTCTTTGACTCAATACGCGCACATAGATCTCCTCGGGCTCCGATTTCCGATGGGAACCGTTCCCACCTCTTACTCAGCTGAGGAACGCTGGCAACCCTCGGTGTTTGCAGAGCCCAGCTCCACCCGGGGCCGCCAGCACCCCTCCACAGCCACGGCCCGGGGGGAGCATGCAACCGTAGCATCAGGAGGTTTGCATGCAAACATTTGTCTCTAGCTAGATTTTATGTACATCCACAGAAAAGGAGTGCTTTTCTAAAGCCTACCTTCGACAGGTGGGCTTTGGAGAGCTTTAGGTTTGCTCAGAGGTAAGCCTCTCCTAGGGCAACTTAAATCCTAGCAAAACACCAGTCACCTCCTTACAGCACCCCATCTTAACTGCAGAACCCTAACCCTAATGCCCAGTAAATTCATCTTAAAGCACACGTAAACAGTCTTGAAAGCAGCATGATCCTAACACATGCAGACCTAGCATCGTAAGTACGATCATAGGATATGTGTAGAATACAATCATGTATCATATTAGATATGATCACCCCTAACTTCAGCATTATCCTAGAACTCAAGATTAAAAAAAAAACCACACACACACACACAAAACACCAACCCCACCATAAACATCAGAAGGTACACAATAGGTATTTCATACCACAGGGTATTTTCTTCCAATCTTCCAAAACCAGGTAATTGAGACTTGAGATATACTAAAAATACTTTATTTCTATTTCTTTTACCTTCCTCTTGGAAAAAACCTTCCTCACCAGGTCTATGGAATTGTTACTTAGTTTATAATACAAACAGATGATAAATTATTAAAAATGCCACCGAGGATATTAACCAATCACCTTAAAATTCTTTGTGTGACCTTGTTCATGGTGTCCTACAAAGTAGCAGCAGCTGACTTGTATAATCTTTTTCCATTTTCAGCATCAAACTTCACTCACTACTGAAATAAACCCTTCTACAGTGCTGATACAGAAATAAACTCAATTACTGAAGCTAAATTAGGATAAATTCTTATCAGTTCAGGCCAGATGAGATACCCTGGCTACAGCTCACTAGATTCTACGCTTCTGCTTCTCCCTGGGCATTTTTCTCAGGGGTTCAAGCTGTACTGCACAAACACTGCTTGGGAGACTGGTCCCACAACAATCTTGTCAGAATACACCCCTATTCACCCCTTTCTTCCCACGGGGCACCACTCTTTATCCAGCACAACTAACTCCTCAGCTAATGTTTTCATACAGAGACTAGCCCTCAGCGGTGCCTGTAAAAACCACCATCTGCAAAGCGTGCATCTACAGAGCACGTGAAAGCTGTATGAAAATAGATGGAAAGATGCAAACGCAAACAACAGATATAGACAAGTCACAGACAATTTATAAGGCTTATGAAAACAATCGTTGGCTGTTTCCTCAGAGATTACTAACATAGGTTAAAAAACAAGCACCACTTCCAAGTAAACTAGCTTCCCAGAGCTCACACGTCCTTGAGAATTAAAGGCATAATAAGTAACCATTTAATAATTGCCTGTGACTCAGAGCACTGAATAAGCCATGCATTTTAAACAACTGTCAGGACAACTTTTCAAGCCACGCTGGAGCACCCCTCACCTTAACGAGCTTACAGTGCATCACCAGCCCACTCGCACCTCGTTGCGGGCTTTTATTAAGTTGTTGACTCCAACGACGAGCAATAAATAGCGCAGCAAACCCGCATCGGCCCGCCCCAGCCCAACCACCCGGAGTTGCCGCACTCAGGTTCATACAGGGGCGTTGAACCCCCCCGGCCCGGGTCGGCGGGGGCGCCCGGGAGAGGCCGCCGAGGCGCCGCTGCCCGCCGCCTCCCTTTGTTTCCCGCCGGCCGCGGCCCCAGCAGGTGAGCGGCGCTCGCAGCCGGCGGGGCGGGCGGCCCTGCCCGGGCTCCGCGCCACGCCGGCACCGCGGGCCCACCGGCAGCGCCCAGGTGCGCCGCTGCCGCCCGACGCCGCCAGCCCGCCGCTCCCGGCGGCGCCCGGAGAACGAAGCCGCCGCAGCTGCCGGGGGCACCGCGGGGGGGCGGCGCCGCCCAGACCCCCCGCCGGCCGCCAGGCACGGGAGGCGCTCCCCGGCGGCGCCCCGGTTGAGGGAGGGCGGCACTGGGGCGGCCGCCGTGAGTCGGCCCGAGCGCAGCCGTGCCCTCCGCAGGGCCACCTACCCTGCCCTGCCCTGTCCTGCCCGATTGTCCCGGCAGCTCCTCCCTCCGCCTCACCCCGCCGGGCCAAGCGGCGCGGCCCCTCACCTGCCCCGGCGGCGCGGCCGGGCCCGGGCCCGGGCCCCGCTCCGGTTGCGGCCGCTCCCCAGCTCCGCTGGCCGCGACCCCTCCGCCCGCCCGCGCCCGCGCCGAGTGTCAGCTACGGGGCACCGGCGGCGTCACCGCCCCCCGTCACGTGCCGGGGGCGGGGCGCGCGGGGCGGGGCCGGGCGCGGGTGGGGGCAGTGTGACGAAGTGGGGAGGGGGGGGTGGTTCCGCCGCGCGCCCCGGTTCCCGCCGCTCCGCTCCGGCCCGGTCCCGCTCCGCCCGCGCGGCTGCGGCGCTCGGGTTGCGCCCCGAGGAGCGGCCGAGGCGGGGCGTGCGGCGCTGGGCCGGGGTCTCGGTGGGCGACGCGCCCGGGGCTGAGCCTCGGGCCTGCTGCGGGGCGCGCCGAGCCCCGCCCGCCCGCGGGCCTTGCGCCCGGCGGTGAGCGGGGCTGCGGCGGGGAGAGCCGGGGGGGCGGGAGGGTTTGCCGCGGGGGTCCGCGGAGCCGCTCGCAGCAGCCGGCGGGGCCGAGGGGCTGAGCCCCGGCACCCCCCCCCCCTGCGGCGCGGCCTGGCCGCAGCCCGGGCGGGCGGGCGGAGGGGGCAGCGCTCGGCAGCGCCCGCCCGGGGCGAGGGGCTGGTTCACCGAAAGAAACGCTCGAGGGGCTGCAGCCTGACAAATACTGCGGGTCCTGGCCCCCAAAGAGGGTGTTTCTCGTAATTTGAAAGTGGTGAGCGTACTGGTTAGTCCATCCGTTCTGCTGTGCGTCTTTGTTATAGTCTGCTAAAGTAACCCAGTGTGACTGCCACAGTGATAAGATCATTTTCTAATTCACATGTAAATGTAAAATATCAAGGCCTTTCTGTCAGTAATAAGGAAAATGGAAAACAAAACCCACACCCCTTTCTCACTGCAACCAGGAGTCTGTCAGAGTGTTTAATAGTGGATAACTGAAGAAACCACAATTTTAAAATGGTCTGACCAAAAGGAAAGAACAAATAGTCCTGTTATTCTGAGTTAACTTGCTTGGTATCTCTTATTAGTAAAAGTTGTCTAACATCCAGTTTGGGAATGTTTATGTGGCCTTCACAGCATTTTCAAATTGTAAGCAATCTTTATCTTTAAAAAAATGGTAACTAGTCCTCGTAGTTGCAAAGATAACCTTGAAACCATGGACCAACTGTAACTGATACAGTGGTATCTGAATGAATCCACAAACATCCTGAAACAATGACACTGACATGTATAAACTGTCTGTGCTCTATTAATCTAATCAAGACTAATGTTGGCCCTAACTTTTTCTTTGATTATTTTAACACAGGGAAGAAAGAAGGAGACAGTAAAATCCTCAAGAGGTGAGAAGTACAGGTTTGCTCAAGGGAAAGAAAGGCAATGGGAATAAACCTGAGGAGTGCAAACAAGAGAAAGAAAACCAGAGACTCTCTCTGAGAAAAAGATAAAAATAGCATCAATAGGTATAACTGAACATGTGGGCACATTTTCGTATTGAATGGTATTTCCAATATCGGTATTTCCTTGATGTGTCCTATCAGGTGGTATGTGACAACCTGCAAGACAAGTAGTAAACACTGCAAATATCTCAAAGCTGGGCTTCTGTGTGTCAGCCTGAATACTTGTGAAAATGTCCCCTTGACACCAAGGATCGTTTGACTTTGGGCTGTCTGTCCTCAAAACATTATTATTAAAATTCTGTTGATGTTAGAAGGCTGATACTACTGTCGTTCCTACTCGTTCAGCAGTTACTCACAGACTCTGGAAAAACAGACTAGAGACTAGTATTTGTATTGTAAGGGAAAGAACATCTTGTATATAAATGTCCATTATTTATCATCAAAAGATGAAAGAAATACGTAAAAGGACAGTAGTTTTGTATTCATACTTACTGTTTTGTAAATATATGTGAAAAAGATAGGGAGTAATTCAGGGTATGATGTTCAGTTGGGTGTTTTTTGTCTAATAAAATTCTATCTGTATGCCCAGTTTTGTGGTAGAAAATTATATACTCAGGACATTTGAGTATTTCTGAGCCAGCTGACTGTATTTTACCATAAAAGTATCTCAAAAATCAGTCATAGTAACCACACTGTAATTACCCTTCCTTACTGCCATGCTCCACTAGAATGCTGCAGGATACGGCATTAGTGATTCAGACTGAGGCACTCTTCCAGCTGAGTCAGTGTTAGACCAATGGTCCTACATAATATCAACATGCATAATAGAGCCAAAGGTGCCAGAAGATATGGAATTTTGAGTCCCTGCCCACGTGCAGTCGTGAAAGATTCCACATTACAAATGAACTGTCCAGCCCAAGTTCCAGTTTTAGCATCTGTTACATATTCTGTTTATGAAGGATTTCTCTCATTTCACTGGAGTAGAAAGAGCTAGAGTTTGCAGCCTTTACTCACTGTGACTTTTTTTTCCTGGAAATGTAGGATGGCTGTCATACTGACACTTCAGATAGGACTATATATATATGTTAGGTGGAAAGATCCAGTACATGTAGTGACCTAATGAATCACATATTGAAAGAATTGCCAACTACAATTGCTTTATATAATATATTTGAGCTATGGCAGAACCTACAGGACTCTTAATTCATGTATCTATTGACTTCTGAATGTTTTCTATCATAACTCATACACAAAGATAATCATTCTCTGTCTTTGTAAAGTTATGCAAAGTCAGTGTTTGAACTGTGTCTGTCTGTCCTCTTATGCCAAACTTTCAAAACCTTTGTCCAAATTTAACTATGTTTGCCAAAAGGGAGTTGTCTCAGAGGTAACTAAGATCTCAGAAGTTTTGTGAAAGCAGGCAGCCATACAGAGGTGCAGGAGAAGCCGCACAAGAAAGTGACATTTAGAAATGCCACTAGAAAAGAAAAGTTGATCCAACACTTAGTATCTATCATAAAACACAAATCCATAGAAAACGAGTTTCATAGTTCTGAAAATTCAGTCTCAGAAAAAATCCATTTCTGGTATTTGAATTAAACATAGAAAGGATGTTTTTTCTCTTTAGGTTCAAAGTTCTGAAATACCAGGGTCATGTGCATAAAAATCTGAGCCTATTAAATTTGAAGCACAAATTCACATTTTACTTTTTTGCTATTTTTTTTCTTCCAAGTCCTCTATTTAAAATCTCTACAAGTTCAGCTGTCCACTATTCTATGCCTCAGTCACAGTAATTCTAGATGCATGTCATGTTTTAATTAATTTGAAATGAGTATCCGAGATTGGATGTTGTTGTCCTGTTACTCATAATGCCAGGACTAATGTTAGGTAACCAACAGAAATACGCTGCTTAAAACGTGATTGGTATTAAATCCGGGTTGTTTATTCATTGTTTGCCACCCCTGCTTACCAAACAGACTAATCTCATCATGAACTACGTTGATTTGTTCTTTCAGAAATGACTGAGAAGGCAAATACAAAAAGCTTTCTCACATCTAACAAGCAGATACTGCAAATATCCACCTTACTCATTTTGTTGTTTCCTTGGGTTTACACTCCTTTTTTTTGCAGAGCCTTTTTCTCTGTGTTTGGTCTTATAACCTCAGTAGTGATATGCCCTAGAGAAACCATTCTGAATTTAGACAAAGAAATGCACTTAATTAAATAAACAGTTCTAATATAAACCAAAAATATTGTTATTTTACTTAAAATACTAGTTAGAAGTGTATTTTCTAAAATGGTTCAACTTGCCTAATATAAAAAGCACATTACCTGGAGCATCTGTTGTCTACTCTGCTCCTACTCTCAGTTTTTTGACAGCTTCTAGCCTCTCACCTCTATAAAAATACTTTTGCTACCTACACATACACATACAATCAATTCTTTCTTTCTGTTCTTTCTCACTACTATAAAAACACTTTTTAACAAAGTGCAGATACTGTGGGCTATTTGCATGAACTTGTCAATTTACTCCCCATCTCCTGACTCAACTAACAGATGAGCCATTTTTGTTTATATAAAAAGGAACAAAAAAAGTAAAGAATATAGAAGAAGGAACCCAGATTTCTCAAACATTCAGCAAAGAACTTCTTTCACCATGACACTACAAAGGAATGTTGTCTGCCTTAAGGAGGAACTTTTATCCACAGTTCAGAGAAGATAATTTGTTTTACTGTGAAAAATAGGGGAGGAATTTGTAAGATTTTTCCATCTTGCCAACAGATTATTTTTGTAAATAGTATTAGCCAGAATGGACTGTGGTCAATGCATCATTTTTTTACATTGCTCTGTTCGTTTGCCACATGGTCATTGTGGTGTTTAGTATTTGTATCTCTCTCTGAGATCATCTAATGGAAGCCGTGACAAACATTCAAATGTGCCTATTGTTTGCATTAGCAGTCTCAGTTTGCAAGTAAAGAACAATTTTTATCTGATTGTCAGCATTACTAAAGAACAAAGTGAGATTTGTTTTGGTCAAACTGATCCTTTAACTCTGCTCTTGCCAAGACCAGGCTCACTCCCTATCTGTGAAGTTAAACTGTTTATTGCTTTTCTCTGCTTGAACATAGTATTCCAAACTGTATCACTTCTATGCTGAGCATGAAAATATACCTCTGAGTCACAGCACAGAATTAGAAGTGGAGAAAGGTATTGAATAATGTTCTGATAGAATTGCTAAAGCAGACAATGGGTGAAGGACGACATTTCTTTGCGCTACTTTGACTTAAGGCCTTTGCCTAAGCTAAATCTTAGTCAGCTCTGCACAACTAGTCATGACTTGAGCTAGCCATGATTTGAACTAACAGGCAAAACATACAAAAAGCACAATTAATCCTTTAAATAATAAAATCTCTTTCCTGGGATAAACCTATAATGAAAGGTATTGATATTAAAAAAAGCACAATGTAAATGTCCATTTATACCTTGGAGAATTGAGAGTCCTGCACCAGTGTCTTTAATTTCTAAAAGTAACCTATTTTTTGTCTAATGTAAAGGAAGGAATTGTGTTTATGAACCACTGATAAGCAGAATTTAAATAAATACAAAGATATGTCATAGCTATGCAAAAATAATTAAATAAAACCTTGCATGTTGAATGTTTTATTCATACTGAAGATCATTTTATCATACTGCACAAAATTCAGGCTTCAGGAAGATACATGAGGGAGTTTCTGGTT